CCTGGGATGGGAGCCATGCCTCCCTGGAGTTCCACCTGTTTGGGTTAGTGTACTGAATTCTGGGCTGAGTCAATCCTGGGCTGCAGCCTGACTTTGCCTTGAGAAGACAGGGTAAAGGACCCACAGACAATCTGGAGTTGTGTGTGTTGGACTATCAAGCAGTAGCGTTCGGGGTAGGTGGGACAGAGTGACCTGGCCCCCTGCAGGGAGCACAAACAGCTAGCCTGGAAAAGACACAATTCCCTCCTGCCTTCATTTTATTTTATTTTAATTTTTTAAGATTTTATTTATTTTATTTGACAGAAAGAGACACAGCGAGAGAGGGAACACAAGCAGGGGGAGTGGGAGAGGGAGAAGCAGGCTTCCCATGGAGCAGGGAGCCCGATGTGGAGCTCGATCCCAGGACCCTGGGATCATGACCCGAGCCGAAGGCAGACGCTTAACGACTGAGCCACCCAGGCACCCTCCTGCCTTCAGTTTAAAGTCTTGTATGTGTCTTTTCATACATAGGGTTGATGAAAGAGAATGGCATGTTCACAAACAGACTTTTGAGCCAAGGAATGCCCACAGTAAACCACATTCCCTAGTAACCATACCTCTTGGGAGTGCAATATTACTGGAAAGCCTGTTCATTTTAAAGTGTCCCAACAAGAGGAGGGTTGGGGTGTTGCCAGGGTGAGATGTCAGAGCCTGTGTAGTTTACGGCACACCCCTCAGTACCATAAAGTAGAGCATCGACCCAGCATTCCTTGGGTTGGGCCGCCATCTTGTTTCCAGTATTTTTCATCTTTCCCTGGGCAAACAGGATTAGCTTCATAGATGTTCTGATCATATCTAGCCGTAATGCATTTTACATTTTAAACTGAGTCTCAGGGTGCCTAGGTGGCTCATTTGGTTAAGCTTCTGACTCTTGATTTTGGCTCAGGTCATGATCTCAGGGTCATGAGATTGAGCCCTACATCGGGCTCCGTGGTCATCATGGAGTCTGCTTGAGATTCTTTCTCTCTCTCCCTCTGCCCCTCCCCCTGCTCACACTCTCTAAACAAACAAACAAATAAATAAAATCTTTAAAAAAAAAGTAGAGTCCTTATTCCAGAGTAGAAATGGTTTATAAATCAGCTTTGTGCTGTCTTCAAGAACATTTACGAGGGTGAGTCTGGACAGCCGCATTGGGAGCTCTGGATGATTAGTGAAGGGTCTTTACCTTCCCTTCCATGTTGGAGTTCTTTCCTCAGGATGTTATATAGCATGATTATAGGGAGAAAGATTCAGTGACATCAACCCTTTAGACGCGTTTTTGTGGCTGTGTTCCTAGTTCTTTTGGGGACAGGAGTAATTAAATTATTTCCAGGTCCCTAGAGTGTTCCAATAGAAGGAGGAGCTGAGTCAGTCGTACAAGAAGCTTACTTGAAAAGGAACGTGGAAGGAGTGCAGTGAGATTTGAAGACATTACAGGCCTTTCTCTGGCAAGCGTTAGCAAAACTCAGGACTACCTGGGCCTGGTGTTCTTTGGCCCCAAGTCTAAACAAAGGAATACAGTTTTAAGATAAGACCTATTTGCCTAAATATGTGACTATTTGAGCTTCTGTCTTGAAGCTGGAGAGAGCACAGAAAAGTGAACAATGGCCCTCACTCTGTTCTGTCTGCGCAGGTTATGGTGACAGTGACGTGTGCTTGTCTTCGTATTCCCATGATGCTTTGCTCCTGGCCTTCCCCCTTGATCTGCAGGAGTGAACCAGGTCTCCACCTTGGGGACCCTCAATCCACAAAGTCCATCCTCCATAAACGCTCTCTTCTATAGAGAGGAGGGGGGTTTATCTGGAATACACAGTTCAGCTTTCTGTTGGTGCGATTTTGAAATGGTTTATGTAACCGAGGAGTTGTCTACTCGCTTTGGAAAAAGATAACTCAAGCATAAAGCAGGTGGGCTCATGGCTGGCTGTTTTTACAGGAGCCCCTTAGGTTCCTCGATGTTGGCTTCATGGAGTCCTGTTCTGGGGCCAGAGTTTCACGTCTGTTATCGGAGAAGTACTCAGTCCCACTGCAGATATTAGATATTGTTTCTACTTAACTTTAAAAATCCAGTATCAGTATCAGAGTCCCTCAGCGGGAAGCCCGAGCGATGAGGATTGCATAGCCCTATTTAAACAGCTTGGTGTGATCGGGATGCTCTTCTGAGGAGCTAACTTGAAAACCTCAGGAGGGACCCTCATAAACACAGGTGTGTGTGGGACAGGGGAGCCTGGGTCAAGAGCAGGGTTGTTCGTCAGATTTAGGCAGATGTCAGCCCTGGACATTCTGGCCCCTTGGGAAGGCCGACTGGCTGGAAGGGTCTGCTGAACATCAGGGCCCCCACCTTCTGCTGCTCCAAGCAGGGTCCCCTGTGTGATGGTGAAGGCTTGCCCCCGTTCACCGGGGTTGAGAGAATTTAATCCCCCTTGTGGATAACACCTTAATGCAACTAAAAGAAGATTACTTATTTTTAAAGCCTTTCCATTTTGTTCTTGTCCATTTGACAAATGAAGCATTATTATTCCCAGGATGGCAAGGGGCAGTGGCCGGCCGGCTGGGACGAGGATTGGTCCCATCATTGTCCCTCAGCTGGGCTCATGGCCACAGCGCTAGCGGCATGTCGTTGGGCCAAGCTGTGACGTTGGGGCAGCCTCAGATAGCCGTTTTAGTTTGGCCCTCCTGCTGAGCGCTGCAGGGAGACCAAGGAAGGCTTTGTCTGCGTGACGGGTTTCATGGGGGGGACCAGGACTCCTAGGGCCGCAAAGACCCTCCAGCGGGCCTCGGCGAGAGGACATTGGGACCCATAGATGCTCTGTCTTCAGTACTTTGTACTTACGCTCTTGGTGTGACTCGAACAGGAATTGTGACCATCAGGGTCTTGCATTCTAGAAGTTTTAAAGTCTTTTAAGTCTAAATCCGCTTGTTTATTTATTTGCTCTTAATCACGTGCTTAGGCCAGCTACATATCCAGGGATGGGGTGGGGGGGAAGCTTTGTCTAGAACTGGATACAAAGGAGAACCCACTCCTTCTTGCTCAAGAGCACTGATGAAGCCGTGGGATTTTATGCTAAAATTCTAGTTAGCTTAGTAGAGAAGTTTCCAGAGACCTAATGGGAGTCAAGCAGTCATCCTCTGGTGTGTCTTACTCAGAGTGGTGTGAGGCCCCGGGCAGTCAAGACAAGGACAGCGAATGTTCTTCTTGTCATGTCATTTGTGTTTGTAGCTCATCTGGCATGAAAATATGTTCCTCCAAAAAGGATTGTTTATAGAGCATTTATTTTTAAAACGAATAGACGACATTTCTTATACAAACATTTTTTTGTTCCAACCTTTTGTGAACTTGGGAGAGGCAATAAGATGATGAAGATACGGAAACTCAGGCACGTAGCTCAAGTTCCTTCACGAGACCTTGCTGGGACGGAGGAGACCAGTGTCGGGTGGTGTCTGCCAGGACGGAGAGCAAGTGACGCTTTCCTTTCTCATTCTGTGCCATCGACCCTTCGACGGCGGACACTGGGGACGGATGCTGGGGGTGTCACAGTGTCTGGGTCAGGTCTCCTCGGGAGGGGCAGATGGGCCGGCGGGGGGTGGGGTAGGGGTGGAGAGGCTCTGGATGCGGGACTGTTGGGGGTGGGGAGGAAGGAGTTAGCTGGGGATGAGAAAGAAGGGGGCAGATGTCCTAGCCTGATGTCCTAGCCTGAACTTGGGGAAACAGCAGGCCGGATAAAGGAACTATTTGGATAATCTTTCCACTTGGTATTTTATTTTAGATTCTGATAAATCCACCAGAGAATTAAAGAATTTTCTTTTCCTTCCCAAGTGACAGCCGGCAGTGTTCCCTTGGGAAGGTGGGGGTCCCTCCTGCCTCACGCTCCGCCTCCTGATGACTTGGCTCTGGCCTGGCACGGGCGCGCCCCACAGCGCCTTCCTCCCAGCAGGTGCGCACCTGGCACCTGGCCCCTCATCATCCCTGTCATCCCCGGGGGCTTGCTCGGCCTCCTGTGAGGGCAGGGGTGACCCCTCATTCTAGGAGATCCTCTCCTGTAGAGGCGTTCTGCGGCAGAAACTTGATATTTCTCTGTTCGGTAACCTCTCTCTCTCAAATGCTTTGTGATTTTTATCGGGAATGTGGCCTGGTTTGTTCCTGGTGTAATTACTTGTCTTTGTCTTATAGGTCCTTAAGCGAACTCACTTTATAATGCTATTTTTGTTAAGGCTGTGTAATTTCCTAAGCGTTTAATACTTTATATGTTCTTTGAATTATCCCCAAATCTTTGGAAGCCACAGTAGGTTGAAAATTATCTAGATAGAAACAATTTATGGTGTTCCGAGTATATTTTTAAGTTTTTTGCTTCTAAAATCTATCATTTGTTTTCTTTCTTTCTTTTTTTAAGGAGTTTTTTTTTTAAGATTTTATTTATTTATTTGACAGATAGAGAGCATAAGTAGGCAGAGCGGCAGGCAGAGGGAGAGGGAGAAGCAGGCTCTCCGCTGAGCAGGGAGCCAGACGTGGGGCTCGATCCCAGGACCCCGGGATCATGACCTGAGCCGAAGGCAGCCGCTTAACCGACGGAGGCACCCAGGCGCCCCTCACCTGTTTTCTTTCTAAGGCTCAGTTTTAGGGAGAGGAGATGGCTAATGGCTTTTACTCCATATGAACGTGGAGATGTCTGCAGACTCAGCTGGTGGGGAGAAACAGAGCACAGTATCCAGGAAAAACTTTTTATGTGGAAAGAATATAACGACTCGATTTGGGCAAAACAGAGTTTAGCTCTTGAGAAATGCATTCGGAAGAAAAGATTTGGAATGTTGTTTCCAGTTTTCCAACCATTCCATAACAGAAAAGATGTGAATCTGGGTACTTACCAAGTTTGGAACTCTAAAGTCTTGTCCTTGCTAACTTTTCAGGTCCTGATTATTTTATTCAGTGAACTAAAGGGGTATTTGGAACGAATTCTCCTTTCTGTCCTATTTCGTGCCTCCCCCAGGTCGTGTCTTGTCATGTGGTGGGCGAGGCCATTCAGTTCCTGGTCCGCGTGGGGCCCACATCCCCTGAAGACACGGGGCACCAGATGTACGGTGCGCGGCTCTCCCCGTTTCATCTACAGGTGAGTTTGGGTAGATCGAGTGAGTCTTGGGAAGATGCTCATAAACCTATAGGGTAAGCCTGGTGTGATCGCGGGGCCCTGATTTCCCAGGCTTTTATTAATCATTTATTTCATAATGTTCAAACTGTAGCCTTCTATATTATATTGTATCTGTAGGAAATAAAGTGTGTGTCATGTGTATGCACATGCTGTATACACGTATACACACATGTATCCACACCCACACAAACACGCATCTATAGCTACATACGGATGTATATCATGAATTCAGAGGTTGCCCAGCTACCACTGTTGGGAGAGACGATATTTTTCAAGGCGTTGAAAGAGATCAGGGGTGTTGCTGACAAGCAGAGTTATGGTGAGTGGCATCCGCGGTGAGGACAGTGGTTCTGTTTGGGGACCCCCGGCCCAGACCCCAGCAGTCCTCTGCAGCTGGGACACCCGCGTAGCCACTGGACTGGGCGTTCCTCTTTTTAGTTTTTGGGAAAAGTCAACTTTAAAAGAACTCTTACTATTTTGTATAAATTTAAAAGGGGAGTATTACTATTATTTTTCTCATAATACACTGACTGTTCTCATAGCAAATTTGTACAGACACACCTCACTTCATTGCCCTTTGTCGACGCTGCATTTTTCACCCATGGCAGCTTCGTGGCAGCCCAGCATAGAGCACGCCTGTCGGCACATTCCTCCAGCAGGCTTCGCTTGCTGCGCGTCTGTGTCACATTTGGGTGATTCTGTCATCTGTCATGCTTTTCCCTTATTACATTTGTCACGGTGACCTGTGCTCAATGAGGACGGACCTGCTGAAAGCTCACATGATGGTCACCATTTTTCAGCAATAAAGTATGTTTGGTTTTCTTCCTTTTTTTTTAGATGTAATGCTTTTGTATACTTAATAGACTACAGTATAACTTTTACAAAAATACGTACTTATTTTAGACAGAGAGTGCGATAGCGTGAGACTGGGGGGAGGAGCAGACGGAGAGGGAGAAGCAGACTCCCCGCTGAGCGTGGAACCCGACGCGGGGCTCGATCCCAGGACCCTGAGATCATGACCTGGGCCCAGATCAAGAGTCGGACACTCAATTGACTGAGCCACCCTGGCGCCCCTACATACAACTTTCATATGCACTGGGAAGCCAAAAACTTAACGTGACTTGCTTTATCGTGGTGTTCTGGAAGCAGATCTGCTGTATCTCTGAGGTTTGCTCGTATATATTTTACATCATATTAATAATGACCTCTATAGCAATTATACAGAGACATATATAATAATCATAATAGGCTTATTAGGGGAATTTCTGGATGCCTGAACCATCAGATAACAGTGTGTCCCTCACATGAAGCTTGGGTCCACAGAAGCTCTGTTCAGCCAGCATGTGAACGTTGTGAATTTCTGGGTCTGTTTTAGGGGTCACTGCGGCTTCAACCCCATGTTTCCCCTCCTCTGTCCCCGTGCTTGGCTGCTAATTTGGGGGATGAACCTAAATCGTACAGCACCCTCAACCACAAGGGAAGGGGATATTCCGTATGCTTTTCTTACATAGACATGGTTTTGAAGAGCCAGGGCAAACAAGATTTTCTGGCTACCTAAATGGCTTTTTTTCTGCGAGCCAGCCCCCCCAGCCCCCCTCACTAACACTCCCTTCCTGAGAGCTGAGGAGGGTCGTTACTTCATGCACTTGTCAGATGTTCATGCCCTCCTGCTCCCCCGAACATTTTGGACAGTGTAATTGCAGAATAACTCTGAAGCCTGGGACACATGTAGCCGACGCCGGACACCTGTTTCAGGAGTGAGTCTAGCAAGACCCATAAACCTCCACGAAGGACATGGAGTTTCCGAGATGCTGTTTATGTGCCATTTCGTGCAGCTCAGAGACAAGTAACACAGTTGTATCTTGGATCTCTTAACACAGTTGAAAACCGCTCTGTGGATTCCCTCTGAAAGCAGAGGGAGCTACTGGAGATCGATCAGTTATTCATGCCCCAAGCAGGAGACACTGCTGCTCTGTTGTCCTTCAGATGAAAGGAGCACAAGGGGGCCCGCCTTGGTCTCGCTGCCCCACAACCTGCCTGGGCTGGGGGCAGACTCGGGGACTTGCAGCAACACAAAGTGCACCTTTCCTGCCATCACCCAGGATTACGGGGCAAGGGAAGGCATCGCCTGTCTTACTCCGATGCTGGCGTGAGCCGAGGCTCCCGAGGGGTGGGTAGTACGGTCTAAAGCTGCCCTTTCTTTCCTCCTTTGCTGAGGGCGGGGGGGAAGGGACAGAGGCAAAGAGCTGGGATCTGTGTTTTGGAAAGAGTCTCTGGCTGAAAAACGAAGGGAGGGGTATTCGTTTGCTGTGCCTGCTGAAGCAAATCACCACAAACTTAGCTTAAAATGTCAATGTAGGGGCACCTGGATGGTGCAGTCGGTTGAGTGTCTGACTCTTGGTTTCGGCTCAGGTCATGATCTCAGGCTCATGAGATCGAGCCCCGTGTCAGGCTCCGTGGTCGGTGCAGAGTCTGCTTGGATTCTCTCTCTCTGTACCCCCCCCCCCGCTGCGCTCTCTCTCTCTCTTTTCTAAAAAATAAATAATTTTTTTTAAAAAAAAAAGCATAAATGTATTATGTTGCCATTCCGGAGGTCTGATGTCCAACATGGGCTAACGTTGGCGGGCGACCTTCCCGTCTGGAAGCTCTGGGATCATCTGCTTCCTTGCTCATTGGGCTGTTGGCATGATTCGGTTCCTTATGACTGTAGGGCTGAGGGCCTGTGTTCCTGCCGGTGGTCAGCTGAGGGCCGTGGGCAGCTTAAGGCCACCTCGTTCCTGAGTTCCTGGCACCTTCCCTCCATCTTCAGGGCACCTCTCGCTGGCCTGCTCTCTTACCTTCTTTTTCCCTCTCTGAGGGCTCGCTGGGATGACCCAGCATTATCCCTCCCTGCACGGTCCTTAGCCTGGTCCCTCCTGCAAAGCCCCCTTTGCCGTATCTGGTCACATATTCACAGGTTCCGAGAACTTGGGTGTGGACACCTTTGGTGGGGGGCATTATGCTGCCATCACGGATGGGTCCAGTCCGACGGGTTATTGCAAGAGCTCAGAGTCCAGTTGGAGGGCGTGCGTTGGCCCAGGCAAGAGAGCATGAGAACACCGTGTGCTGTGTGCACAGCCCCAGGGAGTGTGGCAGCGGGGGGTTGGGCTAAGCATCCCCATTCGCCCCCGTTCCTCCCTGTCCTGCGTGCCTTGCTGTCACTCCCAGAAGAGAATGCAAGGCACAGAGAATTCCTCACTAAGAGACTGCAGAGTTTTAATGACACCTGGCCTTCAGCCTCCAGTGCTGAGAATCCTCTGGTAGGTTGAGGCCGAGGAGGGTGCTGGCGGGGAGGGGTGGGGTGAAGGGGAGGCCCAGGGAGTTCAGAGTTTTCCTTCCCATTTCGAAAGGCAAGGGGCGGCCAGGCAGGCGCCTAGGGAAATAAGTGAACACACACACGTGCACACACACACAGATGCACACGGACACACGCACGGACGTGTGTGGAGGTTTTGCTGGAGCATATAGCTCTCCGGTAACTTTGTGTTTTGATAGCTGGAGCTCCACATGACAGAGAAGAGAGAGGACATCCAGATCAAGTGGTCCTTCATCAGCGCTCCGGAAACGGCCATTACGGTCCAGCCCAAAGCAGTGGTGGAGGTCAGTCTGTGGGTTTTTATGATCCTCCCCCTATCGGCGTTATGTCAGAACACATGCACATCGTGACCCCCTGATCTGGGGAATAGAGGCTCTGCCCAGCGCCCCTCCGATGTGGGCAGGCTTCTCCCCCTCCTCCCGGAGCATGGGGCCACCCTGACGGGGCAGGAGGGACCGTGGCTGTGCTGGATGTAACGCTGGGCCCTCAACCCAGCCGCACCTGCCATCACCTGGCAGCTTTAGAAAGCCCTGGGCCTGCCCCCTGCCACCCCCCACGCAGGTTTCTTTGGGCCTGGAATTGTTTCTAGTGCTCTTGTGCCACCGAGGCTGAGGACCACTGATGTCCTGTCGCCGCGGGGTTCCTCGACGGGCTGTCATGCTTGCTCGTCAGACCTTCTGTCCTTCCCTGTGGCCCTCCCCAGACAGCTCAGGTTGCGGCCGTGGACTGGCTCCCAGGGGCAGGCGTCTCTCCCCCCAGTTTCTGCAGAAGTGCTTCTCAAATTGGAAGGCAATCTCTCTGCTTCCCACGGTCCGAGGTGTTGGAGGAAATGAATTTGGAAGCAGGGAGTGGGTGGATAAAGTCACACTGCGGTCACTTTCAGTGGCTGGGAAGATCATGCAAAATCACGTATGCCAGAGGCTCGGCTGATTAGTGATTCCTTTGCAGGGGTGGGATTTTTATGATGGTTGTTCGCAGTCTTGCTCTGTTTCAGACTCTTGTTCAACCACGAAGAGATCCCCAACAGCTAAGTATGTGACTGTAAGCCTTTGTCCATACCTATTTTTACCTTTCATGCCTTGGTACAAATCCGTGCAGTTTTTTGTTGTTTTTAAGATGAATAAGCTTGAATTGTAACTCCTAACTGGCACACATCCGAACTGTCATTTTTCCTGGCTGTTCGGTCACACCAGGGGCTCGGACTGTTTCCCAGGAGGCCCGGTTCCTGTGCTGTTGCCTTTTCCTTCCCACCTTTGCATCTCCTGGTCCACCCTGTGCTGTGGTCAGGCCGGCCGTGCACGCAGAACGTTCCCGCGGCCTGCTGTCCCAGCGCCACGGCTGACTCGCACCTGCCTTTGCGTCAGAACACCCTGCCGAGGCGGGCAGACCCCCGTGGCCAGGACTCCTTGAGTTAATTCTTCCTCTGTGTGGTTGGCTGAGCAGCTTCATATCAGTTGAGTGCGCTGTCTCCGGCTAGGACTCACTTTTAGGTTTTGTCCCCCATCTTTGTAAATTTACATGTATTTTTTTTTTGAAAATGTAAAATATTCACACGGTTCAGAAGTCAAAAGTGTGAGAAACCTTCTGCTCAGACGTCCAGCCTCTCCACCCTGTCCCTCCCGCCCCATCCACCCCCGCACACTGTAACTTTGTTCATTAATTAGTTCGTGTTTATCCGTCCCGGGTTTCGTTTTGCAAAAACAAGCTTATTCCCCTGTTCCTACCCAGAGGGTGGCATGTTCGCATCTTGCCCCCCAGCGTCCCGTGGGCTTCTCCGACCGTCATGTGCTCCCCATGTGGGTGAGAAGCGAGACTCTCCAAGTATAGCATTAAGCCAGCCCCCTGGGAGCCGGTTCTGTGGGCGTGGGACCCGAGCCTCCGGGGCCTCCAGTGGATGTGACATTACGGGAGGCAGGGGGGTGGCCCGAGCCAGCTGCTCAACTGGGGAGGAGCTCGGACATCTGAGCACCCCAACACTCATCTTCACCCTTGATTTCCTCCTCTGTAAAGGGACAGGAAGTCGTGGGGGTTAAAGACTTGCGTATGTAAACAAAATGAGGTCCATCCACATGATGGAATATTTTTCAACCATAAAAAAAAAAGAAAAACAGTGAGGCTGTGACACTTGCTACCAACATGAAGGAACCCTGGGAAGGTCATGCCGAGTGAGAGAAGCCCGACACGGAACGTGTGTGGGAGCCCGTTGCTGGGAGATCTTCCCCAACAGGCAAATCGTGCAGGTGGCAGGCGGATCAGGGGCAGGTGGGGGCCGTTGGTGGGGAGGGGCAGGGGGTGGGGATGGGGAGGGGCGGGGAGTGACTGCTGGTGGGTGAGAGATAGGGTAAGTGATAACCTCTCGATGGTCGCTGCACAACACCGAACACACCGAATGCCACTGAAATGTCTACTTTAAAATGGTTAATTTTATGTGACGTGAATTTCACCTCCGTTAAAAAAAGAAAGGGGTATCAAGGACCTATTGAAGAGAAAGACAACAGCGTGGTGGTTTTAAGCGCAGACCCTGGGGCCGTAACGCCTGGGTTTGACTCTCTCTGCCACTCGTGAACCTTGTGACCCCACCCGTGTTAGTTAACGTCTCTGTGTGCTGGTTTCCTCGTCGGCAAAATGGGGACAATGCTATTCAAGGCGCTTGCGAAGATTACATGAGTTAATACATATAAGTGCATAGACTTGAGCCGGACATAGCCTAGGAGTGATGGAAGTGTTAGCTGTTTTGATAATTAGTAGAGTTTCCAGCAGAGAGTAGACAGTAAGTAGTTCACTAACGGGCAGAGTGGGATTAAGTTTGCTGTGACAAGGCCAGCCAGCCCTCCGCAGGCTAACCTCCGCAAGGCGGGAGGTCTTCCTAGGCCTCTGGTCCTGGCGGGTGTGCCTGCCTGCAGACGTCCTGTCCCCTGAGCAGGGTGGGGGTGCCGGAGCCCCGCGGCGAGGACGTCTACACCAGGGGTGGACTGTCCCTCCCTGTGACCGCACCACAATCAACGTATCTGTTTAGCTGTCGACGGGTACTGAGGTGGTTTCCAGTTTGGGGCTTTATGAATAGTGGTGCTGTGAACATTCTGGAACACAGGAATGCCTTTCTGTTGGGGAGTAATTATTATAGCTTTATGGAGCTGGCACCTGATAATACAAATCATCCAGCTTTGTTCCTCTACGGGCTTATCTCTCTTATTGGGCCCTTTCATTTACTTGAAGGCTTTTTAATTAAAAAAAAAAAAAATACCCAATGTCATGCGAGAAAGAAAAAACACATCTGTCCGAGAGGGTCTACGCAGAAAAAGCAACATGTTTGTGTACTGCACCAGGCTTGATTGTTACCATTTTAAAAATAAGGAGCAGGAATTACTTCTGAGATCAGTAAGGAGGAGGACCCTGTCTCCCAGAGGAGATCAGACGTCCCGGAACCCGGGCTGCCCCCCGCGTGCTTGGTCCCGGGGATGCAGTGCGGTCACCTGGCACCTGCCCCCCCGTTGCACGGCGCACAGTCAGGAAGTGATTTGGCGGCTTCCCCCTCTTTTGGCAGGACCAGGTGGCGGAGACCGATGCCGTGTCTGAAACCCTCAAGGATATCTTGAAGCGCCTGGTTAGTGCTGCCTCCCCGTCAGTCGTTCTGAGCACCAAGCCTGTGGACGTGAGGGACGTTCAGGTAAGCCGCGGAGGGTGGCGCTTCATGACCCGTTAGGGATCCCGGTCCCCCGCCTGGAGAACCTGCGTGCGTTTCAAATGTTCCTCTGCCCACCGTGGTAGGGTAAGAATGTCCGACTGCTTGCTGGGCGACCACGGCACGTTGATCGTGATGCGCTGCCAGTTCAGGACACAGGGTTCCAGAGCCCCGTGGGACGGGAGAACAGGTGTCTGGGCGGCTCCACGTGGTCCAGGCCTAATTAGCCCTGACCCTCTGCCTTTCTGGAGCCAAAACTCGACTTTTCACTGTCCACTCAGAGCCTGTGGCCTCGGATCTCATCCTTCCAGGACTGAGGTAGCTGGGAAACCCAATTAGCCATGAGAATGTGCCCCCAAAGCAAGAGGGCTTTTTATATATATGTAAAATATCCAAATATATAATAGCTTCTGTAGTTGCTTGAGCCAATCATATATTTATATACAAAATGTATATTTATTCATTTACACCAAAACCTATTATAAGGAATTGGCTCACGTGATTACAGAGGCTGACGAACCCCGGGATCTGCAGGGTGAGTCAGCAAGCTGGAGGCCCAGGAGCACCGGCGGTGGAGTTCCATAGTTCCGGCCTAAGGCCAGCAGGCTTGAGAGCCACGGAGAGCTGGTGTCTCCATTCGAGTCTAAAAGCAGGAAAAAGCTGATATCCCAGTGTGAAGCCCGTCAGGCTTGAGGAACCCCCTCTTTTTCAGGGGAGGTCAGCCTTTGTTCTAGCAGACCTTCAACTGATTGCATGAAGCCCACCCACATTAGGGAGGGCAATCTCTTTCACTGGGTCTTTTGATTTAAATGTTCATCTCATGCAAAAATAGCCTCACAGAAACACCCGGAACAACGTTTGAACAAATACCTGAACAACCCCATGACCCTGTCACATCGACACATACAATTAACCATCACACAGAGACAACTGAAATATTTCATCTCCATCCCAGACATGTGATCGCTCTGGCCCTTGTGCTCACGGACTTGGATCCTAAGGACTTTTGCAATTACTTCTTGCAGCTCACAGCTGGCAAGGTCCTGGTTCACAGTAGTGTTTTCTAAATGGTGACCTTGAGAGGTTGGTAAGCTTTCCCTCAGAAAACATCTGAGGTCAGATCAGTACCCAGGGTCCCTTCCTGGAAGGCTCTGTTTGCGTAGAGACCTGTGATGTCTCTGAGAAGCCTTTCCAGGATTCCCAGACCTTGGTACTTAAGGGACGCCCCCCCTTTTAAAGATTTTATTTATTTATTTGAGAGAGAGAGTGGGCAGGAGGGAGAAGGAGAGAATCTGGAGCAGAATCCACACTGAGCGCAGAGCCAGACCTGGGGCTCGATCCCACAAATGCAAGATCATGACCTAAGCCAAAACCAAGAGTCAGACACTTAACTGACTGAGCCACCCAGGTGCCCCTGGTCCCCTTTTAAAGAGCACTCACAGCCGCGAGGGAAGGGAGGAAGCCAGTTTGGGAAACGGTTTAAGGTGAGGTCCTCTGGGTTAGAGGAGCCTTTTCTGTTGGAAACGCCTCGATGCCCATTTGCGGACATGACGATGGACGCTGGTCCCAGCGGCACCTGCCTCTGTCACCGCTCAAGTGCATCACCTGGATGACACTTAGATACTCCCCACCTGGATGGCGGATCTGCCTGATGGCCCTCGCCATGTGTGTGTCAGGCCAGTGTCCCGCTTGGTGCCGGTGGGCAGTGGGCACCTGCAGCCTGGAGAGGGCATCCCACTTTCTCGTCAGCACCTGGCCTGGGGCAGGTGCAAACCCAAGGCAAGCTCTGCTTCCGGGCTCCACTCACTGCCAGGTTCCGGGGAGCCCCTCTGGCTGAGTGCACTGCTGCTTCACTTGGGTTATTTGGATGTAAAAGGCTCCCAGGCAGGGCAAGAGGTTATGGTGGATTGGGACCCTCCCTTCCCATAAGAATGGAAAATTGTTACCGAGCTGGGTCAGACCCCCGGTGCGGATTGTCCCCAAGACCCTGCCCCATGACAGGTGGTGGGTGGCTGCCTCTTCTTCTCCCCGGGTCACTGCTCTTGGTTTTCTGTTTGCAGAATCTGCAACGCACTTCATCTACTCCTCAGGAATCCTGCCCTCCCAAACCTCCAAGGGCTCACGAACTCAGATTATTGGTGAAGAACATCCGAGCCTCGCTGCTAAATGATCCTGGGGCTTCAGGCAGGTGGCAGGGCTGCAGGAAGCTCCGGGTGGGGGGGCGGGGGGGGCCCTGCCAGCTATAGAAGTGACTGTTCCGCCACACAGCAGAGCAAGGGGTGACCTGCAGGTTCTCAGTGGCCTCTGGGTTTCCCGTGGCACCCTCCAGTTGGGTCTGCAGTGTGATCCCTGCCTTTGAGCACAGAGCCCCTGAAAACCAGAATAGTAACGTGAGACCGTTAAACAGCCGTCCGGATTTTGCAGGCAGTAAGGCTGAGGGAAGAAAGGAATGCAATCGTAACCTTGCCCTTTTCTTGTGTCTGGAAGGCACCCGCCCTTTTTTTAACTATTGAACATGTAAATACAGGTTGAGCATCCCTGACTGCTACGCAATGCGCACCTTCTCCTTTCCTAGAAGATGGGGCACCACGTGGGCGGTTTACAGAGTGTCAGAGGGCTTCGGGCCCATCGGGGACCCTCCAGTGCTAGGAGAGGCTGTTATCTGAGTGAGGACAAGTGTTGCAGAGCAGATCCTTCTTTTTAGGTGGTCCTGAATGGCTGCTCAGACCCCAAATGCACAGCAGCCTGGAATGGGACCCATCCTTCCACTGCGATTCGATTTTGCTGAGAACAGGAATGGATTCTTTATTGTCTGAAGATGCTAAGGGTTACTTATGTGCCGGGAGTGTATTCCGGTCCCCAAACCACAGACTGTCCACATTTAACAGCCGAGACTCTGTGCAAAGCCAGCTGTGGGTGATGTCCTCGGGGGTCCCTGTTCCTCGCCTCTGTGGGCAGGTCACATCTGGGTCCATGTCTCCCGTCAAAGGTGATCGTGAAGATCAGTAAGATAATGTGCGTGGAATACCTAACACTGTGCGGTGTCTGGTCCAGTGGTTACTGGTTACACAGTATATTCTCAGCTCTATGCCATGGGACAGGCATTGCCTGGAAGCAGAAATAACTGTTGACTAGTGACATGTCCCATTACCCAGATCACAGATCCCCAAACAGGTGTCTGACTGAGCTGAGTCAGATATAAAAACACATCCCTCGTAAGTACGGATATGGGTTCTCTGTGTGGTGTGCCCATATTTAGGGGTCACCCCAGAGGCCTCTCCTTTTGCAAGCTGGTCATCTTGTTCAAAAGTGGGGACCCCATCTGCTTTTGTAATGTTGCCCCTGGGGAGTGTCCCTTATCCAGGGCGGGGAGCAGGGGCTCTTGAGGTCCACCATCCAGGCCAAGAGATAGCAAGTTGGGGATCGAAAATCTTAAACCCTAAGTGAAGTGCTTTGAGAGTTTGTTAATGGCAAATGAAATAAAGAGTAGTCCCTCAGATGTGGGTGAGCCAAGACGTCAGGCGTTTAATTCAGCCTGTTATATGCAAAATGTGTATGCGCATAACGCAATTTAAAAAATAGAAATGCCCCTTTGTTTGATTGCAGGCAACATTAACCCACAGTGTATGGTTCAGCTGAACGATCCCATTCAGAAGTTCAGCGCCCTCGCGACAAACACCACCGACCTCAGCTGGGAAGAAGAATTCACCTTGTGCGTACAGCCTGGTTAACGTGGGCTTGCAAGGGCAGAGCCCACCCACTCATGGCTGCCAGGTCCCCAAATCAGCGTGTAGCACTGTACATACCCAAAACAGAAACGTTCAAAAAATTATTTTTGAAAAGGTGTATTAAACAACCGAGGTAACTTTAGGTTGAATCTGGGTTTCTTTCTGAAGGCAGCTCTGGGTATGAGTTTCCTTCTGGCCCGCGTCCTGCCCTGACCAGAGAGTGCTCTGGTCAGGCTCCCTCGACTTTAGAAGTACCCGCCGTCTGGAGCAGAAGGGAGGAGACTTCAGGTTGATACCGGAACCTGACCGGGAACAAAGGGAACAGTACGGCCCATTTAGAAGAAACGGTGTAGGAATTCTAAGTAATGTATCCTGGAGTAGCGTCCCCCAGCACCGTAAGAAGCCGGGCTCGGCCCAGGAACGTACGGATGGCTTCCTGAGATCGATTAACTGAATCCCTGTGATGATAGATCAAAGGAGAAAACACACTGATCTCGATACATGCTGAGATGATCAGTGCTATTTCCTGCGCATTCCTGATTTAAAATCTTAATTAGAACACGATTAATGGCCACTTCTTTAATAAGCTAAGAGAAATCACTGTAAAGGACAAAGACCAGAAGTAGTCCCGTTAAAGCCAAGAGAAAGAGACCCGCTGTTTTGTTCTAGAAGTAGGGGGAGTGCAGTAAGAGGAGGAAGGGAGTGGTGTGTAAGTACTGAAGGGAAGAGGCAAACGAATCACTTGGAGGTGATAGGGTTGCATATCGAGACGACGCAAGAAAATCAGTTAAAACTATCAGAAGTAGTAATAGGAAACTCATATAAATATTTCAGTAAAGTGGCTGACTCTAAAACTGTAGAAATCGATTGCTTTCTGAGGCTTAAACAGTGAACAACTGGACAGTGTCCTGGCAGCAGGTGTCCTGTGTATAATATAAAGAGCTTTTATAAATCCGTAGTGAAAATATGAGCCTTCTCCTGGAAAACCGGGAAAAATAGCTAGAAAACAGAAAACAAGAACTATAGCCAGAAACTTCTGAAAAGTTGTTCAATCTCAGCAATAGTTAAAGAAATTACAAATGTAAACAGAAGAGAGAGTTTTTTCACCTTACAAGTTGGTAAAGAATAGGCGAGGGAGCATGGCCGGTGGAAGTGTAAATTGGAAGAAAATTCCAGAAATTCCATTCTGGAAGTCCCCAGTATGTATCCAAAAAAAAAAAAAAAAAAAAAAAATCTCTTAAATGCTTGTAGCTTTTGACTGGCATTTACAGTCTTCCTAAGGAAATAATCACAGTGTATACAAAGATGAGTATAAGGGTGTTTATCTCAGCTTGTTTATAATTACGAAATGTTAGAAACAAGCAAGCCATTATTAAGGGTTGGTTATTAAGGACTGGACTAAAAAAATCTCCTAAGGCCAGATAGGAGGACAATGGATGCCTATTAAGAGGGGTGTTGCTCTGTACTCTCTGACCTGGAAAGAGGTCTGATATCTTAAGTGAAAAAAACAGGTTACAAAAGAGAAGTATACTGTGCTCTGTGTTTTGTTTTTGATAAATATATAGCCACAGTATCTACTAGCCACGTGTGGCTCTTTAAATTTGAATTAATTAAAATGCAACAAAATTAAGTTCAGGCCCTCAGTTTGCACAGGCCTCATTTTGAGCTCTCAGTGGCCATTTGTGGCTAGTGGCCACCGTGTTGGATAGAGCCTAGAAGGACATCTCCATCATCAGCCAGAAAGCAGCAGAGAACTCTAGGAGACCAGAAACCAAATAATAACAGTAAATGTTTGGGGATGGTGAAGTGGCAGATAATCTTTATACTGATGGAGATTTATATTTCTTTCTATAATCAGAAAAAAAAATACTGTTTCAAGAAATAAAGCATTTGTAAGGATTCACAGCCGTTTTTTTCCTTTCTGCAGTGAGCTGAATGCCAAGTCGAAGGAGTTGCACCTGCAGATTTCAGGGGATGAGCAATCCTCGGAAGGTGAGTGTCGAGCAGGTAGAGGGAGGCCCTGCGCTCTGGGAGGGGTCACCCGGCTGCCCTGACCACGGCCTGGAGAAGCTGGGAGGCAGGGTGGGCCTGCTCTGAAACCACTCCGGTCTTCCCGAGGCAATGTTTGCTTGAAAGTCCATTTCAGTTATTAGCAGGGTCATACGTTTTGGAAAAGAATATACTCAACTGGTTTTTGCCTTTTTTTTTTTTTAAACATACCTAAACTCTTTTATTTGGCAATTCTTGGCTTCAAGAAGCCCTTCTCAACTTCTTAGCCTTAATAAACGTGTTCTGTTGTGTTCCTAATTGTGGCAAAATGCATATACCATAGAAGTTCCCATCTTAACCGTTTTTGAATGTAAAATTCACTAGCATTAAATACATTCGCACTAGTGTTGGGACCATCAGCACCGTCCACCTCCCGGACTTTTTCCTCTTGCCAGGCTGAGACCCTGTCTTCCCCATTCCCTCCTTCCCCAGCCCCTGGCACCCCCCCATTCTGCTTTCTGTCTCTATGGATTCCAGCGGGCTTTTCCTTATAAAATAATCCACAACAGCTTACACTGGACACATTGCTGTAGAAACAAGAAAGCAACAATTAAAGGTAAAATCATGAACGTGAACATGGACCTGTATGTATGCATGTGTGTAACTCAGGAGTTTCAGTATGTATTAGGTTTTTAAAAATGCCCATAAACATACCAAAATTAGGAGAGGGGGACCCTTACGTGGCTTATCCTGCTAAGAGACCAAGCCATTTTGTTGTCTCCCAGAGTTACAAAGACAAAGGAAAAAGCAATTCAAGCTTCTGTTTATTAGCAAGAATTCTTTTCCTTTTTTTAAAAGATTTTAAGTTTTTAAAGATTTATTTATTTTAGAGAGAGAGAAAGGGGCAGAGGGAGAGCGAATCCTCAAGCAGACTTCATGCAGAGCACAGAGCCCGACCCTAGGACCCTGAGATCATGACCTGAGCCAAAATCAAGAGTTGGCTGCTTAACCGACAGAGCCATCCAGGCGCCCCCATTAGCAAGAATTCTGAGCTAATTTCCTTGATTCTGTTGTCTTGGGATAAGATCAGTGAGGTTTGAACCCAGGGTGGGCCGATGTTTGCCTGGAGAGAAGCCGACTCCCAGTCCACTCCTGAGGCACCACTCCTTTGGCTCCTTTGGAGGTTCATTCCTGTACAACCTGATGGGATCTATGAAATTTCACACTAAAAACAAGAAACAAAAACAGAACAAAGAACAACCATAGAACCTTTACCGAGACTCCCATAGTTTTGACATTTTGCCCAATTTGCTTTATTATCTGTGCTCACACTTGGTGGTTGCTCTTGATTTTGCTTGCTGTCTCTGCACGCACACAAATGCGTGTGCACACACATGCTGGAGGGTAAATGTGTGAACATTTGAGGGTATCAGGCCATGTACTCCTCCTTTCTTAGGTGCATATTTCCTAAGAATAAGGATATTCTCTTCTGTGTCCACACCCCAGCTGTCTGCTTCCTAAATCTGCACCGATTTCTCTAACCTGCCGCCTGCCTTCCACTTCATCGGTTGGCCCCGCGTCCTTTAGAGCAGTTACCTTCCACTCCTGCACAGGATTAGATTCTGCCTTGAGTCTCCTGTCTCTTTTCTCCTCCTTCGGGCTGGAGCATGTCCACCGCCTCTCTTTGCCTCTGGTGTTCTAGAATGTTCTGAAATGTCCTGAACCTGGAGGATGTTGGCGAGGACAGGATGCGTTGGGAGTTCTGGTTGCGGTGGCGGCTCCCGCTAACCCCTGCTCCCATGGAACCCTGTGGAAACATATCTTTACTTGTCTCCTGTCTTTTTAGCTCTGTTGGCGATGACAACCATTCCTTTGGACTTATTCAAGAAGCAGCCTTCTGGGCCCCAGAGCTTTACGCTGACCGGCGGGTCCTCCTTCGGCAGCTCTGTGCTGGGTTCGGTCACTGCAGAGGTACGTCATTCTCTACCGTGGCCAAGCTCCAGCTTGACCCACTTGAGATGAGGAGCATCTTTACCTTGTCAGTCCGTCTTAGGCTTGCTTCAAGCAGGAAACAGGATGCTCCCCTAAGAGGAGCTCCTATTTCGTACTGCGCATTTCTAGACGTGAATGGGACACTTCCTGCCCACGACTGTGTTGAGTGGTCTGCCGCATGGGGATCTTTCCATGATGCCGTGTCACGTGGGCCTAACCCAGAAAGGGCCACTCGATTTCGTTTGGGTCTCCAAGCTTTTGTACCCATCATCAGGCGCTGAGTGGCTGGGTCTGAGCGGGGGCTTCTCACCTCTCGGTTCTGGGGGAAACCCAGATTAATGACAGGAAGGCTGTAGTACTAAGCGATGTTGATTGACAAAGTCAGGTTCTTGCAGAGGAGGGCAGCATGCATGCCCAGGGGTCGATATTGGCGCTGCACGAAATGTGTAACCAGCTTTCTCTGCAGTTTTCTTACTTAGAACCCGGTGAAGTGAAATCCTGGCAGACCCCTCCACCTGCTCCTGCTGCAAAGGTAGAAAAAGACCGCACAGTGATGCCATGTGGGACCGTGGTCACTACTGTCACTGCTGTGAAAACCAAGCCTCGCTTCGACACGGGGAGGGCGTCTCCGCTGAGCTGTGGTGAGTGCAGCCTGTGCAGACTCGCAGCCCACGGCCCGTGAGCATCTTGTCTCTGTAGACGGCAGGAGCCGCAGGCTGCCGGAGTGAGTGTGGTTCACACAGTCTCATGGCCCAGAAAGAAGGGTAACTGGCCAGACTTGTACTTAGCTTTTTGTTTTTTAGCCAATCACCTTTCTATTTTCTCAAATAACTACATGACATGCCGAGGCAAGGTTCAACCCTGTAGTGCATGCTGAAGCTAAAAACCTAGATATTAAATATCTAGTTCAATGAACTACCCAATTACACTTACGGGGGGACAACCCGCTGTCTTGAAACATTAGATGTAAGTGATCAGTGCAAGTTCTTAGGTTGAGAATCAGTTTTTTAGAAAGCCTGGTGTGCAGTCACTTGAGATCTAGCTGAATTCTGTACCTGTCCCCCCAGCCTCTGCCCGAGACAACTTCTGTTTAAGTGTAGGACTTACTATTTTATTTGTATTTATATTGTTTCTGCTTCCAGATAGAGAATGTATTATCTTCCCAGAACAGGTTGCCTGGCACCGCCGTTCTTGAATACAAAACAGAAAGTGAAATTCTGGCTTAATTAAAATGTTCCTGAAATTTTATTTAAACCCAGGTTCCCAGCATTCTTCTGGGTGCTTGCCTCCCCCTACCTCCCCCTCCACAAAATGAGAGACTGTAAAAAAAAAATCCGAATGGTTGGGGTTGCGTGAGAGGTGTGATTTCACCTTCCGGGAACTGTAGGTTCAGATGGCTTTTGGGGCCATTGTGATCCGGATTTTCTCCCGGCAGAGTCTCCCCTGAAGACGCCTGTCAAGGTGAAGGTGATCGAGAAGGACATCTCTGTCCAAGCCATCTCCTGCCACGGGGCTCCCGTCAGTAAGACCTTCTCTTCTTCGGACACAGGTAACGGGGCGCGTGCTCAGGGCACCCTCCCTCTCACCTCCTTGTAGGCTCTCCTCCCGTCTTTCTCATCCGCCCGCGGGTCAGCATTTCCTTTTCGGAGTTTGGGAGGCACTCTTTTGAGTAATAAGAGCAGATTGAGGAGGAGACTGGGGGAATGGAAGCCAGGCAGAGACCAGGGGTGGTGTGAAGTTTTAGCAGACACTTTCACAAAATAAACATAAAAACCCAGTTTATGCCTCACGTTATAAAACTTTGGAGCATTATTCTCCTCTCGCTCAGTACACCAGTGCTCTGAATATCATCACATAAGCAGGACTTGGGGGTGTAGTCCTAAAGGCGGCTTTGTTGTCGTCTCCTGCTGTCCCAGAAAAGCGGCTTGTTAGGAGTGGTCTCCCCCAGAACTCTGCTCGCAAATTCCCCATTTTTATGGTCACGTTTAGGTAATAAATGTCTTTGGAGAGATGCGTTACGGCCTCCCTAAGTCAAAGCACAATCTAAACTTGGGGATTACGTTTGCTCCCTTTGCTCGGGTGTGACCTGCTGTCAGACAAAGGGCAGGTGGGCTCCTTCTCTGCGGCTCACGTCTCCCCATCCTCCCGGTCCTGTTTCTGGTCTTGCCAAGGTCAAGGATAGGACAAGGAGCAGAGGACGGGGGGCAGGAAGCTCTCATCTGACGGGTGCTGTCTTCGGACGGCTTCGGATCATCCCTCAGCCTGGCAAAGCTGACACTGCCCCCCCCCCCCCGCGGGAGTGGTCACGGTTCTCTGGAAACCGCAGGCTCCCCCCAGCTGCAGCCTCCTAGACACAGCCGTGGCCCTCCTGTGGCTGGCTGCTCCCGATGCCCCTTTTCCTGCCCCTGGCCGAGTGCCCCGCTGCCTCATACTGCAGGGACTCCTTCCCCTGCGCAGGATCCCTTTTTAACAGGCTGACGTTCCCACTGTGGGTTTCTCTCCCACTCCATGGGCAGTAGAGCCTGCCCCCAGGTCAGCTCCCTGTGCCACCCAGGGCCATCGTAGCCTTCTCGGGCACCCCTGGCACCTGGACAGGGCTTTGAAGGACAGCTCAGAGCCATTGGGTGCTCTCCTGGGGGGTCCTCGCCAGCCCCCTCCTCGTGAGCCTCTCGCTTCTCACTGTGGGCGGTGGCCAGGCAGCATGTGGCCGCATCGGCCCCTCGCCAGTCCCCCGGGAAACGGAGCATCTGTCGTCCACAGTCGGAAACCGAGGCAGGAGACGCTCCCGTTAATGCCTGCCCTTCTGATCGCTTTGTTCGACTCTGCCTGAGCAGGGGCTGCCTCAGTGAAGGGGTAGGCTGCAGCCCGGCGTCAGCGACCTCGGCCGTGCCGTCCCCCGGGCTGCCTGACATCCCCCCATGTCTCAGATGGGCATAAAAAAGGCCCTTGCCTCATAGGGTGTGGGATGGCAACACAAAACAGTGTGCTCCCAGCCCTTTGCAAGCACCTGCTAGGTGGTAAGCGTCCCACAGATGTTGGCCCCACTTGTGGGGTACTGACCACGGGGAGGGGCTGCCTGTATGAACCGGCTCATAGGAGCTCACTGTGTTGAACCACTCTCGGAAAGGAAAAGGCATTGCCTTCCAAAGTTCAAAATCTTCTAAGAGGTCAGAGGTTTTTTGTTTGTTGGTCTTCCTGCTTTCATTGTTTTTCATCAACTCTATGGAAGTATGACTGGCATATAAGAAAGTGCAGAAATCTGAGTAAGTACACAGTAGTGAGTGCATGGAACCATCCAGAAGCAGCGATAGACCAAGGGGGTCTGTGAGCCAAACCTGGCCCTGTTTCCATTCATAAATTCCATCGGAGCCCAGCCTTGTCCGATCATTTCCGTACAGGCTCAGGCTGCCTGCACGGGACTGAGGCCACCGTGAGAGTTCGTGGCCCAGGCCGGCCCACAAAGCTTAACCCGTTTACTGTCTGGCCCTTTCCGGAAGCGATTTGCCAGCCCCTGCCTGGGGATCATTTCCATCAGTCCTGGAGGTCCCCAGGATGGTGTGTAATGTGCTCAGTGCCGCCTTCCCTCCCGCAGAGCTGCTGGTGCTGAACGGCTCGGATCCCGTGGCAGAAGTCGCCATCCGCCAGCTCAGCGAGTCCTCAAAGCTGAAGGTCAAGTCACCGCGGAAGAAGAGCACCATCATCATATCAGGGATCTCCAAGGTGCGGCCACGCGCCCCGGGGGCTGTACCTGTTGGTAGCCTGGCTTCCTCCTGGTGGAAGGTAGCCCGAGCTCCTGATGACGTCCAGAAAGCTCCATGCAAAGGGCAGGTCCCGTTCCTCACCCAGCACGAGGCTCACTCACGGCCCTGGTTTATGCAGCTCACCCCGTTCGTGAGGAAGCTTGCAGGCTTCTGGCCCGGGATGCTCTGGTTGTTGAGGGGTTGGTGAACCATGGGAAGAAGAGCTATTGAAAGAGAAAGACTGGGCTGACTAAGGCCTGTTTGGGGACAGAGCCGCTACCCTCTCGCGGGTCGACATGTCTCCAAAGGCTAGCAGAGAGGGCAGCACCCCAGGGCCAGGGGCCGCGCGAGGGTCCCGCATGCGTGTGGAACATCTCAGAATGAACAAGGGGAACGCCAGCAAGGAAGGGGCTTTCGTTGTGAGGGATGAGGAGCAAGAAGACGTGGTGGACACAGAGGCTGGGCTGGCACCCGGAGGTGGGCCAGGGGAACGCGGCAGTCTGTAGCTCACGCCGAGGTGGGCCAGGGGAGGTGTGGAGGGCACTCACCAGTGTTGCCATTATACTCAGGGCCTCGGCGGCCAGTGCCAAGTACCAACTGGCAGGGCTGGCACGTGGTGCCTCGGGCCTCCGAATGCACTTCCGGAGGCGGCCAGCAGGGGGCGGCGGCACGAGGAGTCTGGGACCATGGCTTCTGCTTTCTCGAAGGCTGTATCTTGGAATCACTAGGAACCCACGAAAACTTTACATTTAATGTGTCCAGCCCACTGCGGTGACTGTTTCACGGAGCCTCAGATGGCCCCATCCTGAGTCAGTGGGCACTCGGCCAGCCAAGTGCAGTTGTCAGGAAGCGGGCTCCCCTGTGAACTGCGGGGCAGCCCCGGGGAGCCCCTGGCCCCTTGCCCTTGCAGTCACCTTCCCAACCTCCAGCCCACGGGCCCCAAGGGTTAGGGCAGCACTGCACCTGTCTTAGACACAGAGACCAGAATTCTTAGGCTACAGTGTGTATGCCGATTAATTTCTGCTTGCAGGAGGCAAACTCCTGTAGGAAGAAGTGTTAAAAGACACACTGAATCTATAGCCCACTTCCTGTGCCTCCCTGTGCGCTGTCTGCCACTTAGAAGGAAGTCTCTCCCTTCCGCGGGCCCCCCTGCTGGGGAAGGGTGTCTGCTTCCTCCACACCCCTCCACCTGTGAACGCAGGCGCCCCTCGCAGCCAGGGCCCCTGACCCTCTGCTGCGAGGGGAGACCTGCACTGGCTGCATTTCAGTCCCTGTGAAACATGGCCGCGCCTCCTGGGAAAGATGCGTGTCCTTGCCCCCCACCCCTCAAGCTGACTTCCTTCTTTTGTCCCGGGACAGACCTCACTCTCTCAGGACAATGCCGCTGCCCTAATGCTGGACTACTCGGCCTCCGTGGACGGTGCCCACCAGGAGGACACCCCGTCCCCCGTGGGGGCGGCCGCCACTCCTGCCCCCCCCGAGGACGAGGCCTCAGCCCCTGCCCCGCCGGCCCCGGAGCCCCAGGAGAGCGAGCTAGACTCGTGGGACTTGGACAAGGAGTCGCGGGCCTCGGCATGGGGCAGCCAGGCCCCGCTGGACCCCGATGGGGACGAGCTGTCGGAGAGCTCCCTGAGTGTCTCGGAGCCGGGCGCTGCCAAGAAGCATAAAGGTACCCGCACCCACGCCCCCCGCCCACCCGCCCACCCACTAGCTTTTCTCTCCTGCCCGTTTCCAAGCTAACCTTCAGTTCGATCGCCAGCTTCCCTTCCCTTCTCCTCTACAAATCCACCCCGCCCGTGGCACCCCACCCCAGCAAGCACACCCTCATGGCAGGGGTGGGCCCGCTTGGAGCCGGTGGGCAGGCGGCATATTCAGAATCCTTCCATCTCTCTGCACTGAGCGGGGCAGTTTGTGGTCATGCCTAGAGGCGCCCCTTCTTCTGTCTGCACTCCGCCCCGCCCCCGAAATAGAACCCTCCAGAACGTTTAGAGGGGGTCACCAGGCGACTCCGCACGAAGCCAGCAGAGACTGGGCTCCCTGCAGGATTGGCAGCTCTGCTCATTGTGCCTCAGACTCTTCCCTCCAACTAAAAGCTGGCCAGACCTCAGGGCTGGGTCCTGCTAGCGTCCAAGGGCAGATAAGTCCCCCAGAAAAGGAGACCATTAACTTAACGTGTGTGTAGCGATGAGCAGTCACGTCATTAGAATAATCCATGAGCAGTCACGTCATTAGAATAATCCGTTGTTTTCCATCAGCACTAAATCGATGCTTTGCATTTGCAGATTTTGTCAGCCTGTGCGGTTTATTTAGTGCTCTGGCCTGATGGTAACCTAAAGAGCCTTTCTGAGAGACTGTAGTCTAGGGGCTTGAGGTCCCTTTTAGATGGGCAGGTCAAGCATCCCGAGCTTCCGCTCCTCCTCTGTGTGTGAGGATGCGCCCCCCTCCCAGGCAGGAATAAGGAGATCCCGGTGCAGAGACAGGATGGGAGACAGAATGCAGGCGCCTGAGCGCAGCTGGGAGTCCTGGGTGCGGCTCAGTGCTAAGTCCTCACCACCTCCCCCCCGCCCCCCGGCCCCCCCAAGAATGCAGACTCCAGGAAACCGCAGTCACTCCTGAGGCCGGGAACCTTGGTAAGCTGTTCTGCTGCTGCCTTGCTCCGCTCCTCTGTTCTTGCCGTTGCGGACCAGTGGTTCTCAAACTGGGTGATTGTGGCCCCCCTCGCCCCCCAGGTACACAGGCAGCGTCCTGAGACAGTTTCAGCGGCCACAGCAGGGGGCTGGGGTGCTTTTGGTGGCAAGCCAGGGTGCAGCCCCAAGCCCGCAGCGTGCAGGACGGCCTAGCCCCCTCTGGCCTGGTCTAGGGGGTCAGCACCGCCCAGGGGAGCTCCCCTGGCCCCAAGGAAGGCAGTGTGCGCTGGGCAGAGCAGAAGAAGAGGTGCAGGGTGGGGCGCCCCTTCCTCCCCCTTCCTGCTCCCGATGGCCAACAGTCCGCTGCCTCTTCTCGTGAACCCCAAACCCCCAACCCGCCTTCCTGCGTTCACTCTGAGAGGCTGCGCCTCGCTGACCCCGAGTCCATCCAGAGACCACCATTCCCTCATCCCTTGCTTCCTCCTTCCCTTCGTCTGCTTTTCCTTCCAGAGAGTTCTTTCCCATGGGTTTCCATCCTGGCTGTGCCATGGCCATGCTTCTCCTTTCCTGGCACTGGCCAGGGGGATGGCACCCCTCCGGAAGGGCACTCTTGGGGACCTGGGTGCTGACAGGTGTGCTTGGCGCTTCCCTGGAGCCTGGGCACGGGGACCTCCCTGGACATGGTGCCTGTGGCGTCGGATTTGTAAAGGGATGTATTTGGCAGTGCTTCCAAACTTGCTTCTATTCCAGTGTTTTCTGAGAGATTTGGGCACTGCGTCTCTAGGAGATGTTGTCAGAACCCTAGACGATTCTGTGTTATGGGTGCCAAAGCGTTTTTGTGCACTGAGGATTTTCAGCTTTCTACCCGGGGATCAAGGGAGCGGCTGTATGGAATGTTCTCTCCGTTTTAAACTGAAGCTCATTTTCTGGCTGGAGAACCACCTGTATGTCCAGTCACAGCAGGGGTTCACATAGGTCCCCAAGACCGCCGGCGTATTTAGAATTCTCTTGCAATTTCGCTGGTTGGAAATGCACATTATCGTGACGCTGCAGCCAATACAGGGAAGCTAGTCCCCCAATTCAGGTTGATTTTTAGCTTAACCGAGCATCCATGTTGTTGCATAGCAACGGGAATGTCTGTAACATGACTGTGTGTTTAGAGATGGTTAAGACGGTAGAGTCCCGTGTTCTGCGGACTTTACCATAAGAACAAAAGTACTGATGGAGACTTTGAAAAATACTAAAAAGTAAAAAAACAAAACAAAAGCCCCAAACTGCCCCAAACCTTGCCAGATGTCCTGCCCAGTAACGTCGCGTGCGCGCGGGCGCGATGCTTCGGGACTCACTGTCTGTCATTCTTGTTTTGCTCCCGCATACTTTTCTTTTGACCTCTGACCTCTTCTCGTCATCTCGTGCTCATTCCCTTTAACTTAAGAGGATCGCTATGCCAACCAGAATTAATTGCCTACACAGTAAGTTATTTCTGTCTTATATTTTTTTTTCCCAAACATTTGAGTACAGCCTTGCCTTGAGAAAAGCTTATTTTGTGACAGCAGGAAGCTGATCTCCCCTTCCCTTTGTTCCGTTCCTTTCCAGCGTGACCTGCCCAGGATGCTAGTGTCCCCGTTTTCCTCCTTAGACGTGCGCTGGTGGGGTTACTGTAGCACGTCTACCCCTCGGGGGGGGCGGGGCGCTGTCCCCCAGCTCAGGGGACAGCCAGCCTCGCACCCCGTCAAGTGCATACGCACCTGAGCCGGGCCCTGGTTCTAACAAGCAGTCAGTGTTCTAAACGGACTATCTGTGGTTTGGCTTGAACTCGAGAGCTGTTCTCTGGGCAGCAAACTACGACGTGCAAAGTGACTTCTGGTCACTGTTTTCCTACCTCTCAGATTTTGAGATGGATTCTTCAGTGACCTATTCATGTCTGTTAGGGTCTGTGGACATAAACAAGAGTAAATTGGGAAATATTTGCTGTATTAAAGCTCTAATTTAGGATAATTATTTTTGAAGTTCTTCCTATTTGTTTATTCTCCGGCTCTTTTGTGGTTTTATTTTTTTTTTAACCTTGCTAGAACCAGGGAAAGATTTTTTTTTTTTCCTTCCTCTCTGTCCCCCATTTAAGATGTTGGCTCTTTGCTTCGAATTTCACATACCTTCTCTCCAGATTTTACCTGAAGGAATCCTTAGGGTTGCGAGCGAGGTCTGGGTCTTGCTCCTGCCTCTTGGAGTGGCTGAGGTGGTCTGGACTAAAGGAGCTCAGCTTTATAAAACTCAGACTGGGGCGCTTGGGTGGCTCAGTCGTTAAGCGTCTGCCTTCGGCTCAGGTCATGATCTCAGGGTCCTGGGATCGAGCCCCACATCGGGCTCCCTGCTCAGGGGGGAGTCTGCTTCTCCCTCTGCCCCTCCCCCCTGCTCATGTGCTCTCTCTCTCTCAGATAAATAAATAAAATCTTTAAAAAAACAAAAAACTCAGACCACTCGGGCTCCTGCTCAGGCACTGTGAACTTCCCCATCAGCAAAGGTGACAGATTCTGGGGGCCCAGAGGCGAGGGTGACATACCAAACTGTTAGTTGCTGTCTTAGCGAGAGTTCTCTAAAGAAACAGAACTGCAAGGTGCTGCATTTCAAAGAAGCGGCTCACACCATCATGGGGTCTGACAATCTGAAATCCGCAGGGCAGGCCGGTCCGCCAGAGACAGAATGTTGTCTTCTCCCGGAGGGAGCCCTTGGCGTTGGCCCTTAAGGCACTGAGCGGATGGGACGAAGGGCACGCCCACCATCCAGGGTAACGCGCTCTAGTCCAGGATAGCCGAATGCACTGTTGACCCCGGATCTACCCGGTGCCTTCAGGGGACAGATGCGCGCTGGCCGGGCTGACACCAAAGACAGAACGCCACGGCCCCAGGGAGCTGAGGAAACTCCACACCGTGTCCCTTCCCACTGGCGGAGGAGTGCGCTGGCCTTTCTGTCCTGGACCCTCACACCTCCGCGGAGTGGCGCAGTCAGTGTCCCCTCTGTGGCCTTGTGCTTCCGGCACTATTTACCCCAAAGGTCATTGTGACTCGTGCCCCAGCTTAAACAGACCTTAACGTTTTTATTTACAAAGGAGAATGGAATGACCTCCGTTTACGCTACTCATTCTTCACGCTTGAGTCAAGCTACGGATCAGGGAGGGATTTGTGTCCTGTCTTGCACATGCTACCAACGTGCCTCTCAAGACTGATACTCTTCCGGAAACCTGTCCATGTCCGTGTTGGAGTGCAGGGCCGTGCTCTAGGGTGCTCTGACAGCGGAGACCCACCCCGCTCCCAGGAGGCCTTCCCCGGTGACCGCCCATGCACGGGTCCTTTACCAGACCTGCTGGCCACTTCTCGGGGCTGGCACCCGTTCCCTGCCAGCTCAGACAGCATCCCTTAGGTGCAGAGGGGAGCCAGGCCTGAGCACACAGGCTTTCTGCCCTGGGGCCCTCGTTCGTGGGGCAGAGTGCATCACTGCTAGGGATAAGACATAAGCAGGGCTCCAGCCTACAGATTTGCAAACCTCAGTCCCTGCTTTCACACGATCCCTCCATCCAAGGCAGTGGTATTGTCCCCACAGAAGCCGTGACAAGTCATGTCAAGTTAGGGGACACCCACACTTGGTGAGTTATGATGACGGGCACCAGGGGACACAGGACATCATCCGGTTCTCGTATGGATATTGAACAGTCAGATTTAACAGAACTACAGACCTGTTCGGAGAGCCTGCGTGGGGATGGAAGCACAGAAAACAGCCCGTTATAGTCCCTGTCCGTGGGACGCGCGGGAGCAGACCCTAGCTTGTGGGACAGACTGCTGCCGGCAGGAGCGTTTCAAGTCAATACGGCACACGGGTCTTTCCACTTTCCCAATTTTACTCACAGGCTGGAAGTCCCTGATATTCCATCTTGATATGGCAAGAATTTGAGTTTTAGTCATTTAAAGTGTAATCTCATTTAAAGTTTTTTTTTTTTTTTTTATCAGAGCGAGCATGCATGTGAGTCAGGGGGAGGGACAGAGGGAGAGAATCTCAAGCAGACTCCCCACTGAGTGCAGAGCCCAATGCGGGGCTCGATCCCATGACCTGAGCCGAAACCAGCAGTCAGATGCTTTCCTGACGGAGGCACCCAGGCGCCCCAAGTGCAATTTCATTTAAAAGAGTTAAAGTGACTGCTTAAAAACGTGTAGATTCCCTTTTTAGAGAACTGTGAACACAGCCACCTCCTCTGAATCTGGTGCAGACCCATGCTTCTCAGCAGCCAGATGCTGGTCTGTCCCATTCCACACAGCCTCAGGCTCAGAAATGGACAGTCTCCCGGCTCCAGAGGCCAGAAGTCCAAGGGCCTCCTGCCGGCCATGACGGAGACTCTGCTCCATGCTCTCCCTAGGTTTCTGGTGTCTGCTGGCATCCTTGACCTTCCTTGGCCTGTAGAAGCGTGACCCCCACCCCTGCCTCCACCCCCCTCCCCCCGGCACTCTCCCCATGGGCACACCTGCGTCCACAGTTCTCCTTTGAATAAGGACACACTCGTGTTGGTATAGCGCCTGCCCTGATTCACCGTCGATGAATCACCTCTCTAAAGACCTGTCTATAAATTAAGGTCCCATTCTGAGCTCCTGGGGGTCAGGACCCCAACATAACAAATTCTGGAGGGATAAGATCCAACCCGTGACACCACCCCTGCTCACACCCCAGCCCCTGGCTGCAGACCCCAGACCAACTTTCAGTGCAGGGACCCCTGGAATGGGCTCTGGAGGTGGGGTCCTCCAGGACCTCCCGTTCCTGCTGACCTCCAGCCGCCCCGGCGAGGGGCCACACTGCCCCCGCTCAGGCTTCTAGCCCCCTGGAGAGACGGGGCGCATGGGATTAGAGCACTCCAGGTTAACCGAACGGATCCGGGTGGGAGCCCACCTTTATATGCCCTCAGGGACCCCAAGCTGAGCCTAAAGCAGGTTTCTGTAGATTAGAAACACTTCCTGGGCCCCAGCGCCCCGAGGTGACCTGTCAGGCTGCAGCCCCTCCCGGTGCCCAGGGCATCTGATCAGGGGATTAACCAGTGGGCACCCGTGCATCTGTCCCACCGGCCAGACTGCAAAGTCAAATCCAGGTGGTGGTGGTGGCTGGTGGGGTAACACACCCCAGCTGGTGACTTCTCGTGACAGGCTGCATCTTACGGGGATTTGAACAGCTCGAGGAACAGACATTCGTGGCCCCCAGACGTAGCGCAGCAGGACTGTGGCAAGGGTAGAGCCACGTACACGTTTGGACTCCCCATCCTGCTGCCTGTCCTTCCCGCTGTCCTCGAAAGCCCTGCACACAGCCTCTCCACATTAGATCAGTGTAGACACGCCCTCGTGATTCTGCATAATAGGCTGTTTGATTGTATCCAAAGAGAAAATGAAAAAAAAAAAAAAAAAAAAAGACCACTTCAGCAGCTTTGACCAAATGACATTCAGCCCATGTCTGGGGCTCTTGAGCTCTCTGCTGCCGCCGAGCCTGGACAGAGCAAACGGCAAGTCCGTCCTTGGCGCCGGGCCCAATGAGCAGCCTCTTAAAGTCACGGGCGGGTGTGCGGTTCTACAGTGCTCATTGGTGAAAGGTCCACAGCCAGGGCTGGGCCTGATTCCACCACTGTCCGCCCGCATTTCGGGGAGAAGAACCAGCAGATGCTCCTCGTGGTCCCCCCTGAATAAACATTTGGTCATTGGTGTCTGTCAGGGCTACTCAAGTATTTGGTGGCTCAATCATGAAAATAATGAATTGCCAAATAGCCATAAAGCTCCTCATCCTGATGGGCAGACTTTCTCCTTTCAAAGCCATCAGCACTGACATGCAGATGTGATGAATTCCAGGCTGGCTGGGAGGGTTCTCTGACCCTGCTGGGGTTTCCATAGCATGGCCATCTTTGCTGGGGGTGGGGGGCCAGGGGACCCGAGGGAGGGACAGCCTACTGCCCTCAGCCTTGACCAGGAGCTCAGGGAGAGAGAGGTCTGCCCTGGGACGTACCTGACAGTCCAGCTCACCGCTTCTCGGCTCAGAGTCTTTTTATCCTGAAAACTCTGGTGTTTGGTCCAGGCCAGATTCTGGCTGCTTTTCCCGTGTGGATATAGTGACCGCACACCAAAGTAAGAAACTGCTTTTTAATTAGAGTCACTCAGACGTCCCTGTTTCTTTTCATCTTGGACTAGTGGTCCCGGCATTTCATCCACAGCCCATCTGACTGGCCCCCTGTGCTTTCCTCTTACAGGAGGGATTTTAAGGAAAGGTGCAAAGCTGTTCTTCCGCCGGCGACATCAACAGAAAGACCCCGGCATGAGCCAGTCGCACAACGACCTTGTGTTCCTGCAGCAGCCAGAGGGGGCCCGGAGGAAGGGGGTGACGCTCACCAGGATCCTGAACAAGAAGTTGCTCTCCAGACACAGAAGTAAGAGCACCATGAACGGGGCTCTGGGGGACCCCGCGGCCGGCAGCCTGCCTCACCAGGACGCGGGAAGACGCGGGCCCACCTAACCGCCCACCAGGACGGAGTGAGAGCGTCTGCAAGCTGTCAGACGGCCGCCTGGGCTAGCTGGGTTAAAGGGCCATGAAAACCCCAGTCTCCGGCCATGAGGTTTCCCCCCAGAGACAACTGTCCGATTTGCCACCCGATGCCAAAGGAGACCCGAAGGCTCTGCCACATGGGCTGTGCTCCGATCCAAGAGCTGAAGTTAAATGTGAGATTTACGTTATGAACTAAAGAACATCCTATAATGGATGGTGATGGGGCAGACGTGGGGGACTCAATTTAACCCGCACTGCACTCGGACACATAGTACCTCGGGTCCACTCCTGGACCGCGTCGCAAAGAGGAGGTGTCCCCCTGTGCTGTCACTGTGAATGGAACGGATGGGTCACCTGTCCTCACGGGCTGCTCAGCGTCACGGTACAGCTTGCCCTGAGTACAGAGAGGTGGGACAGAGGCAGGATTTGGAGTCCATAGAGAAATTACGGTGGTAACAGAGACACTATGACAAAGGTAGAAGGTAGTTGCCTTTGATATTAGCCATATAACTTGAAACCGTATGCAAACACTAAATCTCTCCTGCGCACATTATGCTGAGCTTTCCTGGCTGTTTACTTTGAGCCTGTTTGCAAGTGGGAGATCTATCAATTCCTATGTGGTTTTTACGTTTTCCTTTATAGTGTCAAAAGTGCTCATGATCGTGGGGGGGGAGCTCTCAAGTGAGGCTAGGAGCAGTAAGTACCCATCACCATGGCGACACCACACACACGGTTTTCCTTTCGTCCCTGGCTGGTTTGCCAAACGCTGCCGATGGCTGAAACAAAGAACTTCTAGGACAGAAGAGAAAACTATCGTGTGTCTCAGGTAGGAGTCTTAGGGGTGGAAGTTTAATAACAAATGGGCCAAGCATCGCATCAGCCCTCTCGGGAGCTCTCCAGAACTCTGCCGTGAACAGCGCTTGACACGTTTAGGCGTGTCCTTGTTTTGGTTTCCCGTGGGGGAAAGAAAAAACAGATAAATGTGGCCCACCATGTGCATATCCCTGTGTACCCTTCACGCCACGGTCCTCATCTGTCCGCCTGTCCGTGTGTCTGCGCCACTGGCCCATCCACCTGAAGGTGCCACTGCCAGGGACGAGCTGGTTAGGGCTGTGGCTGTCCGTGTGAACTGTCTGGATGGTTTAGCAAGACTCGCTTTCTTCTGATAAGCTTTAAAAGGCTATCATGAAGCCTGACCTCTATCATGGATAGGAAATTGGGGGCACTCCTTCTCACAAGCGCTTTTGTTGACCCCAAAACACGTCTTTCAGGGGGTAATGGAGCCACTGCCGAACAAAAACCTTCCCGAAAACCCAGATTACGGAACTTTTTTCCCTTTTTATTGAGGGAGAGATTCTAAAACTACATGAAGAATTTTACTTTGAAATACACACTCAGAAATGCCCCGGGGTCCCAGGAATTACCAGGTGACTGTAAGATGAGTTTTTACAGGGGACTTTTGATTTTCGTCACCTCGTGAAACAGCACCAGGCATTCCAACGTGTCGTCATACCAAGTTAGTCTCCGCAGGTTGGTAATCACTACTAGTCTTTTTGGAACCCATGTGGTCACTTTGTCTTAGTGGAAGGATTATTGCCTCCCCCCACCGCCCCGTGGTAGGCAGCACCTCGGGACATTCAAGAATTAAATTCTCAGAGGACATTATGTGTCAGAATTTCAGGCACAGATCAGAAGTCCTTAGCACAGTTTTTTGTTTGATTCTGAAGTTCAGATCAACTCAATTTATTCAATGTGATGGTATCAGAGTTTTATGTTGGCACTTTCTTGCTCTCAACAAAAAATGTCTTAGCCATTCCCATTCCTGATTGACCCCATGAGCATTTTGTTCACTGTTTAATATTTTTGCCAAGGGCTTGCTTTCTCAACTTCCTGGTGACTTGAAGCCTCTTCCAGGTCCTGGGCAAGCGACAGGTGGGCTTTCTGTCCCGCATGGGATGCAGGACCGTCATGCGAGAGGTGGAGAGCGTTAAGGAGATCCGTGTTTCCATGTGTCTGTCGGGCACACATCAAGAGCCCCATACCTCTGAGTCAGATCCAGGAGCACCCCCCTCAAGCTGCACACACGTTTTCTTCCTCTGAGGGCCTTTTCTGAACTTACAGGACACCCGAGAGAGCACAGACGGGTGCATGAACATAGCACCGTGAGAAAATGGGCCGTGTTGATACTGTGAATGCTTCTTTAATGGTGTAGGTATTTATGCGAAAGTAAATGTTATGAAGGGTACATGTCAATTAAGATTATACACCAAATGCTAAACATACCAATCTGTAAATCACCTTATTCCTTTGCCTTTCCTTATGCTTTAGGGGCACAAGAGTTTTTGTTTCTGTTTTGCGTTCATGCTATTTTTGCAAAGTGGTGTTTCGGAGTGATTTCTCACGAACGCTAATAGGAATGTGTGTCTGCATGTCTGGAACCAGGTGCTCACGTTGGTTGTCGTGAGCTGGGGCACTGCCCTGGATGCACCCGTGTTTCCAGAGAAATGCAAGGGAGCTTGAAGAGTGTGTGTGTGTGTGTGTGTGTGTGTGTGTGTGAGAGAGAGAGAGATTAATGTGGCGATAACAAAAGCACCAATCTCATCGTCCCGTTGGAAACCCGCTGTGAAGAAGTTGGTTTAGACAGTCCTTTCTTTAAATCAACTCTCAAGTTTAAGTTTAAAGCCAGCCCTTGATTCCTCCTGAGAGCTCGGTGGCCAGTTGCTGCCCACCAGTCACAAATTAGGTGCCTGTCTCAGTCTCTCATTGGTTTTACTGGCTGCCTCTACAGAAGAGAGTTGCAAGTTTTCTTCTTGAGCAGAAAGGGACACATTAATTTATATCGCTGCCAGCAGGTGTGGGGGGTTTCCTGGTAAGAGCCTCACAGTCCTGACACGTCAGAACACAAGCTGGTGGCCCCTGGAAGTCAGAATGTTGATGTCCGCTGGGTGGAAAACAGGTCTTGTGCTGGTGTAGACCCCGATGCCAGGCCCTCCCTCCCCTGCCCCACACCTGCTCAGGCCCGATTACCAAAGCATGTGGCACGGACACACCGGCGCTGCTACGTTCTGCAAAGCAAACTCAGGTCCCCTCCGGGCCCTTCTCTTCAGCATTCCTGTTTTATGTGTGAGGAGGCATCCAGAATACATCGACCTGCCCAGTTCACCCAGCTTCCAACTGCTCAGTCACGTACCATTTACAAGTTAGCCTTGTAAGTACTCCCCTCCACCACCCACCCAATATCACATCAAAGCTACATTTTTTTAAAAAGAAAATGAAAGGTTTTCAAGGTATGTGGCAAGGTCTGGCTTGATGTTTAAGTGTGGTGATGAATTTTCGGGACGGTGATTGTATTCCTCGGAAGCACTTTAAACACAGGTCCCTGTCCTGCACCAAACTGTGGAAGATGTGGCTGGAACATGAATAGTCTTTGAAAGAAATAAATGTGCACATGGGACACGAAACACCGACTTGTGTTTGCTGAGCCCTAGGCTGTCCCGAAAGCCCCGCATGTGCCTGGGGTCCCGGATCACGGTCCGTCTCCTGCTTGGTGCTCGGCGGTCGGTGTGCGTGCCCGCCGTGGGCCACTGCGTGAAAGAGGAGGTGGGCCCTTCGCTCGTGGCCACTGCTGCTTGCTCTGTTCTTGGCAGAGACCCTTCCTAACATCTTCTGACATGACGCTGGCATCTTGTTTTAGGCCTGAGACTAAAACCATTTACTAGAAAGTCAACGTTTCCAGGGACCCCTGGGGTCATGGTGAATGAGGGGTGCTACCAGTCAGGGTTGGGTTGGCCTGGGTCCTCCTGAGGTGCAAGCTGCATGATCCCCAGCAACCTTCGGAGGGGCACTGTCCCCTTGGAGGCAGTCTTTTATATGTCCCTTAACTCCCAGGGTCAATGCCTGCCCCCGCAGGCTCTCGCGTGGGCTCAGCATAGGCTGGTATCACACTGGCACAGGGCTTGCGGTAGTTCCTGGGTGGGGCAGGGCACAGCCAGACAGATGGACAGGTCCTGCACAAACCCCACAGGCATCTCGGCTCCTTCCCAGGGCGGCTCTCCTGGGTATGGAGTGGGAGCCCAGATGATTCATGCCTTTAAGGGAGCCCTCTACCTGTACACAGCTCCAGCCATCCTGGGCTTAGATTCGGATTCTCAGCTCTGGATGTGGCAAGCGATGGCAACCCGGTGTCTTGTTTGGGGTGGAGGTGTCTGAAACTGCACGGCTACTTCCTGCATGACCTGCAGTCCATTCTGTGTGGATGCTGCAGCAGAAGACCATTTGGGCCTGCTGGAAGGCCAGCCTTGCCCTAACTGACCGGCTTTCCGAAGGAGATCTCCTGCCGGTCACCTCGAGGCACACTCTGTACTCTTACCAGCCCCATCTATACTGTCCACATTTTTTTATTTATTTTAGAGAAGAGAGAAAGCGTGTGAGTGGGGGGAGGGGCAGAGGGAGAGAGATAATCTTAAGCAGGCTCCACGTCCAGCGTGGAACCCAATGCAGGGCCCGAGCTCACAACCCCGAGCTCACGACCTGAGCCAAAATCGAGTCGGACGTGCAACCGACTGAGCCACCCAGGCGCCCCCCAACACGGCCCATGTTAACCCACACCAGCCACCTGCAGTCTGCGAATGTGCACCCCTCGTCCCCAGCACATGCCCCGCCCTGTTCTAATGACCCAACCAAACACGAGCCCCGCCTCCTCCATGAAGTAGCCTTGGCCACCGAGGACGGCCGGGAGCACCGGGCGCTTCTTTCGGTTCCTATCACTTGACCCCCTATCACTCCCTCTTACGCTGGCTCCTGGGCGGGCGGTGTATCCATTGGGCTGAGGACAGTGCGCACCTAGTGAGTAATGACCGGTGTCGGCTGGCAGCCCTATATGAGCTCACTGGAGCCCGGGCACAGGGGACGGAGCCCGCCACGGAGGAGAGCCTCTGACAAAACCATGCTACTGTTTACCTTGGTCGCTTCTACAAATACAGGGTGCTGCGCGCAGATATTAATACATCGTTTGTAGAAAAGGCAGATTACTCACCACAGAGGTCTGGCTACCAGGATGGATGCCTGAGCGCAGGGCCCTCCTGAAGGGAGAGCTACCAGATCCTCTTCCCACGGTGCCCGAGAAGTACCCATGGTCACACTCCGCCACAGCTGTCCCCGGCTCCGTACGGCCACTTCCACAGCGCAAACTGCCACGCTGCGTCCTGCGTGTGCCAAGCATTCACAACTGCTGATTATACTGATATAAAGTCGGGTGCTTAGGTGCCTTGGAGTACTTGGTATTTTATACAGAAGCTAGATAAAGATCCAAGACCACAGTGATAGTAACTAATACGAATTGAGCGCTTAGTATTGGCCAGAATTTTTTTCAGGGTTTTACATCTAGTGACTCCTACACTCTTTGAAACCACCCCAGGAGTTATGATCCGTGTCCGCTTCACAGATTAGGAAATGGAGGCACAGAGAGGTTAAGTAACTTGCCCAAGATTACACAGTGGTTAAGCGGCAGAACCAGAGTTTGAGCCCAGGCCGTCTTGCTGGAGGATCCCAGCCCCTAGCCACGAGCCTCGGCTACCCTGTGTCAAACGGAGAGACCGGGACATCATCTTTTCTAAACTTTCAGCTCCCTGTTGCGGGCGAGGATACTCCAAAGTGAGATGCAACGCTTTGCACGTAGTGAGAATTAAATTATTTGCTGATTAGATCTCTCTTTATCTGGGTACGAAAAACCAGCCAGATCGCAAAGCTAGAGGGAGCGTAGAGAAGTGGCTTAGGGATATGTATTTTTATAATGTCCGGTACAAAAGGAGTCAATTAACAAAAAACTGGGGCTGATGGGCCACGTGACTTAGAACACACACGTCTGAGGCAGCCAGTGTCGGGGCTGAGGGCATCGCCCCTGTGCGGGGCCTCACAGAATCATGATGCCGCCTCACTGCTCAGCTCGTCTCTGCTCGGGAGGAGCAGTGCTCGTAGGAAAATCCACTCAGAAACGGAAGCTCTCTCATTTTTAACTCCCTCAGCTTACTTTTAAAAATTTCAGGGACACCTGGGTGGCTCACTCGGTGAAGCGTCTGCCTTCGGCTCGGGTCATGATCCCGGGGTCCTGGGATCCAGCCCCGCATCGGGCTCCCTGCTCAGTGGGGAGCCTGCTTCTCCCTCTCCCTCTGCCTGCCACTGCCCCTGCTTGTGCTCGCTCACTCTCTTCTGTCAAATAAATAAAATCTTAAAAATAAATAAATAAATAAATAAAAACTTCAAACCTACAGAATAACCCATATAGACTTCACTAGATTCACCGATTTTGATATATTTGCTCTACCTACCTACCTATCATCTATTGATCAATTGATCGATTGTTGTGTGGAGACATCGTGTTTTCCCCGAAATTCTTCAGAATGCATTTTCTGAGAAGGATGGCCTCTTCACATCACACACTCAATGGTCATCATCCTTGGGGAGCTAGACATTGAGGCTACCCAGTATCAGGCGCTACGTTCAGGTCTCCCCAACTGCCCAAGAACATCTTTCATAGGTGGCTTTTCTTTTTTTTTTTTCCCGCTTGGGGTTCAGGCAAGGTTTCTACATTGCTTTTGTTGTTAATAATAAAATCTGACACTTTCAGAAACAAAAATTTTTTTAAATTTTGGATAGATCAAAGACAATTATATGATTTTATTCATACATGGAATCTAAGAAACAAAACAGATGAACATAGGGGAAGGGAAAGGAAAATAAAATAAGATGAAAACGGAGAGGGCCCTTTAGCATTATTTTGAAGAGACTATAGAAAATAAGCTGTCTCATCTTTCTCATCTTTTTCTGGTGGGAGAATAATTTGGTATAGCCCCCATCTGGGCCATTTGTTCATATGGGAATTCTAAATGCATAGAGCCTTGGGCCAGGTAGGCCCATGAGCAGGAATTTATTCAACAGCCAGGCGTACTTGTATGAATTGGTAATAAGTAAGGACCCACTGAAGGGGCCCTGCTGTAGGGTGGAAGGTTGAGCAGGTGCAGAGGGGGCATGCTGAGCACGTTGTGCTGCTAGGGCTCATAGGTCCGCCCTCCCTAACCTTCTGCAGTGACTTCCCAGCGGCACTTAACAGTAGGTCTGCACCCCAGCCTCCCACACCTCTCTTGATCATCTCACCTTTACCCTGCTCATACCCCACTCAGCTGTGGGACCCCCGCCTCCCTCCAGCCTTCTGTCCCTCAAACATGTCCTCGAGGTCTTTTGCACAGATTTGCTCCACCTTGGAATGCTCTCCTGGGGTTCTCCACCATCATCTTTTCAGCATTCAGGTCTGTGCTCAATCGCCAAGAGCCCCAGACTGACCGCTAACAGCTAACACGCCCCCCTCACCTACCTCCCACCCCTTGAGTGCCCGCTTGCATTTCTCAAATGCCCAAATGCTTCTCTGGGCCTCTGCACACCAGAGGTACTGGCAAGCATGAACAAAAGCAGGTTGTTTGCAGAAAAAATGGACCGGTTACAGCAAGAGTGAAAACCTATAAAAGTCGACCTGAGGGCACCTAGTCTCTTCAAAATAATGCTATTAAGCTTAAAAAAAAAAAAAAAAAAATCTTTGCTAATGTAACAGGTAAAGACAATTGCACACCAATTTTGCCTTTTCTCTCCTGTTGGTATAGTTGAATAGCCTTGCTTAGGCTTAAGAGCCATTGTATTTTCCTGACCAGGACTGTCCATTTTCCTATGGGGTTCTTTATCTTTTTCCTATTCATTCCTAGGAGCTTCCTAGGCATGAGGGAAATGAGTCCTTTCTGATACCAATTTCAAATCATTTCCCAGCAGTTCATCCCTTCTTGGACTTCGCTGCTGGAGCTTTCTGCCAAGTAGAATAAAGAAGACAGTTTTACGGCCCTGCACTGGAGACTAAAAGACTCCTCTAGCCCCTTCTATTTGTAACATTCTGGGGCCACAGGTACATTCCATGCAGGGGGTCAAGAGGCTACGCAGGCCGCAGGCCGCTAGGACCTGGGAGTCCGGAACGGGCAGAAACAGCTCCAGGAAGCAGTCTGGCCTTCAAAGCTGCCCTGACGGGATGGTGCTTTTCCCGAACTTTCCACGTAGCAGCATCGCACTGGTCAAGGTGTGGATTTCAGGAGCCCACTGTGCCTGGGTACAGATGCCCGCCCCTCTCCACTTCCGAGCTTGTTGGGGCAGAGTAAGCGCTCCCATGCGTGTTCCCTGAGTGGATTTGGAGGACCGCGACACCCCATCCGCTGCATTCAGAAGTAACTATGATCTGGCAGCAAATCTCAGACTGCTTTTAAAGAAAAATTTGACCCTTTCTTCCACACAGCGCCCCCCCCCCCCAAGGAAATTAAGGCTCCAGCAACCACCAGAAGAGACTTGAAGGGGTCCCGGGGCTGCGGACGCCTGTCGCTTCCAGGGTCCCAGGACCGGACACGCGTCCGAGGAAGGGACAGCAGAACCAGCCCCGCTTCTCCCAGGGCGGTCCGGATCCATAGCTCGCCGCTCTCCTGTCTACACCGCCCGCTTTCCGACAACCCGATCCACATCACCCGCTCCCGGTTCCACATCACCCACTCCCGGTCTACACTGCCCGCTCCCTGCCGCTCTCTGTCCACGTCGCCCTTGCCCTCCGCACCCCTAACCACGCCTCGCCGCTCTCCTGTCCATGCCGCCAGCTCCGGGGTCCGCAACACCCGCTCTCCCACTCCCCCGTTCGCGCGGCCCGCTTTCCCACTCCCGGTCCACACCTCCTGCGACCTGCTTGCTGCAGGTCCACGCCGCCCGCTCCCGGGTCCACACCACCCGCTCTCCCACTCCCCGGTCCGCGCGGCCTTTCTCACTCCCCGTCCACACCGCCTGCGACCTGCTTGCTGCTGTGGGTCCACGCCGCCCGCGCCTCGCCGCTGCCCGTGCACGCCGCCCGCTCCCAGGTCCACACCACCCGCTGTCCCACTCCCCCATGCGCGCGGTCCGCTTTCCCACTACCCGTCCATACCGCCCGCGACCTGCTTGCTGCTGTCGGTCCACGCCGTCCGCGCCCCGCCGCTCCCAGTCCGCGCCGCCCGCGCCGGCGCCTCTCCCCCCGCGGACTACAACTCCCACAATGCCCCGCCACCGCCCCACGGCTTCCGGTGCTGCGCAGTTTCCGGAGCGGATCGCAACCCGGAGTCCGGATCCGAGCCCGCTCTGCACATTCCACAGGCAGGTAAAGCCCGGGGCCCCGCGCCCGCCGCCGCCCCCGCGCGCCGCCCCGGCCCGGCCCGGCCCGCGCCCGCGCCCCGCGCCCGGCCCGCCGCCCCGGCCCCGCCCGCCCGCCGCCCGCCCCGGTCCAGCCGCCATGCCGACTGTTCTTTGTTACATTCGCCGGCTGCGGGCTCCGTGGGCGATCGGAGTCAAAACCCGGCTGGATTTCCCGGAGCCGCTCCGGGATCGCCCTGCGCGCCGCCCGCCCGCCGCCCCGCGGCCCGCGCGCTCCGGGCCCGCCCTGCCCGTCGCCCGTC